TTTATAGTTCCTACAAACTTACCTCTGGTGATTCCATACTTTAGAATATATGTACATATATAACCAAAACACAGCTTTTACTGCTTTGCTGTTCAACAGGATGAACTTCAAACAGCAAAAACTTGCGCCGGAAGTACGTCACCGATTCTAGTTACTTTCTAAACTGCTGCTGCTTTTCACTGCTCATGAAATGTTACTTTAAGTCCTTATCATATATCGTATCGCAAGAGCGTCATCTTGTCGTCGTCGTCATCGACGACGTTGTCGTTACCGCTCTTAGGTGGCCCTCCGCGAAGGTGCTTCAGAGGGGTACGTCGTTAAAAACGGGCTCGTATAGTCGATTTGAAACATGACGAACACTTGTTCGCGAACGATGTTAGCGAACGCGAATTCGTATCATAGACGATTCGCCTCGATCCTTTCACCGGGACATCGAAACTCGCCATTCATCTCGCTCATCGCGAGAGACGGAAGCTACGTCTACGCTTATTTAAATACCCCGTCATCTTTGTATTTTTGACGATTCACGCCCGTAACGGCTTCGTTTGAATCTTACACGTCGAACATTTAAATGGTTCGAGCGTGGAACAAAGGATGAGAAGCGAGTCGATGTCTCCTTTGATAACAATATCGGCGCCGGAGGGCTAATCCAATCGCACGTAGCGCGGATTTAAAATTTGCATGTTCGTCAAGCTCAGGAGACTGGAGGCATAGGTAGTCTACCTCGCACGAAATAATAAAATAAAACTTAATAATCGAATCGAAAACTCCGTGCGAGATAGATTCGGGCATTAATCTTTGAAATCTCTTACAATATTTATATGTCAACTATTTTAATAAATAAGTTTTACGCATTTTAGGATTTATATTGAGAGATGGGTTTAGTGTTGTAGCATCTGTCTCTTGCAAGTTCAGTTTAACAATCTAAAAGAGAACAATGTAACCTCAAGCGCGATCGTGTTTTATTGTCGTTGATTATCGTAAAATTTTTACGATTTGTTGGAACAATTCTTGGAACTCGGTATGATTTCACGATTCCTCAGCAAATTGCCGTAATAAGAGAGTTGGTTTACGAGCATTCTCAATCCTTAATAAAAAGCTGTATAGCGTTATATTACTGTGTAGCTGTAATGCTGTTTGAACCTTTATTTATATATTATGTGTATATACATATATATATATATATATATATATCAGGTGATTGCATAAGTTCGTGCCCGATTTAAATATAAACTTCAATAGATTATATTTTAGAGATAACACTTTTATTAATCAATTATAT